TTAAAGTACAACAATATGTTGGCAATCTTTCAGAAATTAATTTTGAAATGTGAAAGAAATAACTGCTAATTTCCATTTTTGTTTTGCCCCTAAAGGTAAGAATGAAGAACACCAACCTAGGGCTACAATCTTGATACCACCATCTCATAGCTTTGTGAGTGTATTATGTTAGGCAATTTTGGTTGCAAGATACAGAAGCTCAAACATGGGACCTTAGGGAATAGGGTGTTGATTCCTGTTCGGTTGGTGTGTGTAAAGAATACACATGCAAATTAGAAAAACTGAAATCTCAGCCATGCTATCAGGTTTCCCAGGAATAACAGAAAAGTTGAACAATTAAACCTCCCAAGAGAGGAATGCAAATTGAGTTTTGGCTTTCTGGAACACGGAATCTGAAGGGTGGTCAGAACCCAAGGTATCAGGAAGAGTTTGTGGATCTTTTCTTTAGAGCAGGGGTTCTCATCCTGCTGAAACAACCCAATCACCTGGGGAGCTTTTTAAAAATACACATTTTAAAGCTCCATCAGCAGATTCTTGTCTAGTACGTCTGGGGAAATGCCTGGATCACTTTGTTTTTGAAAAGCTTCCAGCTGGATTTTGAATGCCCTGCCCTATGTATTGCCTGATTTTGCTATTTTCTTGGAGTCTGCTGCATGACACCAAGTTGGACACTCCCAGTTGGCTCCCTCAGCTTCCACTATATACGTCTTTTCTTGACAAGACTCACTGCCTCACCTCCTTCAAGACTCAGATGTCACCCTCTCATTGAGGCCTTTTGTATCCCTATTATTGAAAAATTGTACCCCTCCCTACCCCCTGTACTTTCTATTCCCCTTCCCTGCATTGTATTTATCCAATACTTATCACCCTCTAACATACTATTGAATTTACTTATTTATTATTTATTGGCTGTACCATCCACCAAAAGGCAAGATCTGTGAGGTGGAATTTTTGTGTATTTTGTCCATACTATATCTCCAGCTTCTAAATCAGAGAAGATACGTCATAAATAGTTGTTGAATGAATGAGTGAATAAATGTGTGAATGCATGTTTTCTGCTTAGTCATTGGCTGATATTACCAGTCTGCTCACTGGTGGTCTGTCAGGACCCTGACCCGTGGCCACCACCCTCTGTGTCTCCTTTTGGATTCAGCTTCCCCAATTAATTGTTTGATTGGACCAGCTTTTTTGGATTGAGATTTTTTTTAGTGGTTTATAGGTCAGATGCCCTCCCAGAGGTAATCAGCTGTGATTCTGGGATTACACATCACAAAAGAGCACTGCCTGGGGCCTCCTTTTCAGCAGGAGCTGTGGGTAAGCAGTTTCTCCAAAAAGCCAATTTTGGTGCAGAGTGAGTGTTCAGTAAATTACCTAACACAGCCGAGCTTCAGGAAAATGACATTACAGTACCTGTCTGTCTTAGCTCAGCAAGTCCTTCAGAAGTTCCAGGGTACAATGCATGGGAAACACACGCACATAAAAGGTGTTTTCAATATTAACTTATTATAAAATAAAACAAGATGAGTGTGAGAAGTTATATCATTTTAGGTGACATTTTAATGTGGCATTTAATAAAAAGCCTAAAGGGAGTTGTAGAGGAGAAATTAGGAATTTAGGAACTTGTTGCTTCAAGTACCTTTGGGATACTTTTTCTCACCCTGATAGTTTTTAAATGTTATTCTCATTTCACTGATTTCTACTTGGCAGGGGTTCCTCATACATAACTTCCAAAATGATATTTAGGACAAGTAAATGCAAAGATCTGCACTTAGTCTCCAAAATTAATTGCACTCATCCGGGTTGGAAGAGGAGGTAGGTAAAGGTTATGTGTATATACATATATACACTTAAAAATATTTTGGGGTATTTTTGTTTGTTTTTAATTGGCAAAAACTTGATGTTTATGAACAACGTGGGGTGGTAGAAAAATATTACTGTGATATCGAACTGAATTTTGAAATATCATAAGAATGCAGAAAATTATACTTCTCTACTCTTCTCTTTATACCTGGAATGTTGGAGTCAGTTCTAGATACCACATAGAAGGGGCACTAGGGTATGGTTAGATGATAATGCTTGGAGGATATAATCAGGGCATGTGACAGAAGGGTGGTGTGAGAAGGCACCTGTTATGGTTGCAGACTTCAAATGTTTAAAAGCTATGTATGGAAGAGGAATTAGTACTAGATTCGGATTCACTGGGCGCTTTAATACACATTGTACTTACATTTATAATAATGATTTAAGGTCTGATTATTATTGTTTTCCCCTTTTAGAGTTGAGCAAACTCATACTTGGAGCCGTTTCGCACTACTCCAAGGTCATATAGCTAGGAAGTTGTAGATCACAGCGCTTTGGAGTTTAAAACCAGTGGTGTTTCTACCAATACAGTAGCTACCTACCAAATTTATAGGGAGACACGTTTCAGCTCATTGTAGAGACTAGTAGGGACTGTTCAATGATGAATACCATTGTGAGGTAGTGAGTGGTTCCTTATCACTTGGAGTTCGAACATATGCTGGACAGCTATTTTGTTAGGATCTGGTGTCCCCTCAATTTATACATATATAAAGAAAGATATGCTTACCTTATTAACAAAATATTAAAAATGAATTCTCATCATAGAGCCAAAGGATCTCCAGAAATGAGGCCTAGTGAATTTAAATGATTGAGCTGTGTTCATGCCATAGTTATTGAAAAATAGAGCATCCAAACTTTGTTCTCTGTATTTACAGTCCGCTGTTTTTTTTCTGGTGCAGCAGTTACCCTTATCTAATAACTGGGTAATCCAGTGTGGAACTAGAGGGTGTGGAAAGAGGAAAGCAGGGATGCTTTGTGAATCACTATAATGAATTACTTGGCATGCTCTTGCTATATTAAAACAAGCCAAGAATGTGAGTTGGTAGTAGGAGCATGCTACCTAGGAAAGGAGAACAGAATACTGTGGAAGGTTCAGGAAGGTAGGGACTGTGGATTGTGTTGTATATCCTTCTTGTTGAGTAGATGCTCAACATCTATTTGTTGGAATGAATAATGTCATCAATACTTTAACAAACATTTAAACAAAACCTTCTTAGTGCTGAGTGGAGTGCTCTGTCTGGGAGCTAAAAATGAAGTAGACAAATGTCTCTGTTCTTTTTTTTTTTTTTAAAGATTTTTATTTTTTATTTTTTTTTAATTGGGGAACTGGGGGGATGGGAACAGTGCTGGGGAATTGGGGGAATGGGAACAGACAAGTTCAGACAAGTTGCTGTTGTTTTGTACTTCAGTCTAGTTGTGGAGGACGTTGCTTCACTGGCCCAAGTTGGCACCATCATTGCGCTCTTCCAGGGCGAGGCAGATCAGTCACCGGCTTCTGGACAGCCGCTCACTGTGGCTGCTGGCCACTCACGCTGGCTGCTGGCTACAGATGGTAGCCCATGGCAACCCACTGCCACAGGGGGTGCAGCCTATGCAGTCGCCACGTTAGCCCAGCTCCAGGTTGAGCTGTTGTTCAGCATCTTAGCTGTGGAGGGCAGTGTCACTGGTCCTCATATGTGGGATCCGAAAGGGGGCCCTCTGGCGTCCCAAGCCAGTTTTTAACCATCGCCCCACTCGGCCGGCCCTCTCTGTTCTTTTAAGGAACTCACAGCCTAGTAAGAAAAGATCATCAAGCAAAGCAATGGGAAAAAAAGGAAAGCGCTAAGGGTTATCATAAAGAATAGATAAAAGGCTCTACGAAAACAGCAAGAAAAGGGCATTTAATTCAATGGGAGTGTGTAGGGTGAGGATATGAGTGTGGTGAAAGGAGAGGACAGGGAATTTTCCAAACAGGAAATGATGTGCTACCTTCATTATCTTGAAGGGTAAGAGGAGTTCACCTGGTTAAATGGGGGATGGATTTCAGGTGGGGGAAAATATGCAAAGGCAAAGAGACAGTCTGTTGAATCTGTGTGTGACATGTGATGGGAGTTGGACCTGGAGCTGAAGAGGTCTAGGGGATCAGATTATAAGTGGCTTTGTATACCATAGTAATTAACTTAATCCTGATTTTCTAGGCGGAGTGCCTCTAAGAGACTTTAAAGACGGAGGATCTGCATTTTTGGAGCATTCTCTGGCAGTCATATAAGAAAGGAGCAGAAGTGAAATTAGAAAGGCTTGACCTCAAGAATGGCAAAGAGGTTGAAGTGGTGCAGGTAGATTATTAGTCACAGAATTAAGAGGAAGAATTCATCCATGGGATTTTAAATCAGAGAGCTTTAGGAGAGAGAAATTTAGTTGCCTAGTTGTTGGAATGGCAAGATTTTATCAATGGAATCAGGTGGTACTAAAGTGAGTAGCAGATGAGTAATATGGAAGGCCTGCGATTGGGACCACATGGCTGCCCTGAGTTGGTGTATTAACTGATGACTCTTTTGAACTGAATTCAGGAAATGACATAAAAACGATTTGCGCAATAAAATGAGAAGAACGAAGACTCTGAAGTCAGTACATTTGGAGAAAAATAACTAGGGTTGGTGGAGATGGGGAAGTAGCTGTTGTCAGAGGTCCATTTGTGGATAAATTTTGGAGAGTCCAATGGAAAGATCCGAAGAGAAAACAAATGCCCTGAATCCAGCTTCTCCTCACTACAACCCATTCCCCATCCAGCTGCCTTCAATCTTTCAGTCATACCACCTCGTGTGTGTGTACGGCAGTGGGTATGTATAGGAAAAGGAATTCCAACAAACCGAGGATGACAATGTTAGAATTTCGAAAAATTGCAGACCACATCCTCGAACCTACATATTTCAGGTTAAGCTATGGCTTCCTGGCTCTAAGGTCCAGTGCCCTTGCCACTACCCCACACCGCCTGCGGGCTTGGGAGCTTGCAGCTCGGGGCGTGGTGAGGTCCGCAGTGGCCGCGGGGGTGCGTCGGCGGCCCCCTCGGGGTCCCGCTCCCAGCCCCCAAACCCCGTGAGACTCCCAGCCCCGCCCCCTTCCCCTTGCCGGGCGGGGTCTCTGCGCAGCCGCTACCCCGGCGCGTGCGGGGTCGCGCGGACGCAGGTCGGGCGGCGGGTACCGGGAGATCGCCGGGCCGCCCGCGCCGCCGCCCCTTGCTTGACGCACGCAGGGGCCGGGACGCGATTTGCCGCGAGTGACTGGAACCGCCGCCGCCTGGGCCCGCTCCGCCCCCAGCCCGCCTTCTCCCGCCTCGCCCTCTGCCTCCGCCTGCGTTTCGCTCGCGTCCCCGCGTCCTCCCCACCGGCCCGGAGCAGCCGGTCGACAGCGCCAGCCAGGTGAGCGTGGCCGCCGCGCGGCCCGGGCGGCCCGAGCGGGAGGAGCGCGCAGGCTCCGCGGCCGGGCGGCGAGCGCGGGCGGGCGGAGGAAGCGGCGGCGGCGGCGGG